TGTGTGTGTGTGTGTGTGTGTGTGTGTGTGTGTGTGTGTGTGTGTGTGTGTGTGTGTGTGTTTCATTATTGTTCTAATGAAACTGTCCACTCACACTCTAAAGGGGTGAGCGATTTGCCTTTGGCCACCACTACTTCCGTCCTCACGAGACACACCATTCTCCATCGCGGCGATTCTACCAGAACGAGTTATTCCGCATGCCGCTCTATGAGATCATCCCCCTGGAGGCAGTGGTGGGAACCTGCTGTGTTCTCGACCTTTATACTTACTGCAAAGGTAAAAATGCACAAATGAACCCAAATATGTTAGCTGAACTGCTAGAACCATGTTGGAATTTGGTTAATATTCCCATTAAGTTTTGATAAACATACGCCACAGGAAAATGCATAGGCATGTGCTCACTTGAATGTTTTTTTTCCTGCTCAAATACATCACGTCCCTGCTAATTCAGTGTGCATTCTTCTTAAAGGACGGCCAAAGGGTGTGAAAGAGCAGGATGTGTACATCTGTGATTACCGCTTGGACAAGTCGGCCCATCTGTTCTACAAGATCCATCGCAACCGTTTTCCGGTCTGCACCAAGCCATATGCCTTCAACCACTTCCCTAAGCGGCTCACGCCCAAAAGAGACTTCTCGGTGAGAGCGACAGGACTGTTGAGCCGGGATCTGTTACTGATTTACAAACACTAGAAAATGTGTTGAGAATGGAAGTCATGTTTTAGCTGGGGTCTTTTTTTTTTCTTTCTCTGTGTTTTAGCAACCAAAGCTTATAAAATTGGGTCACACAAGAAATTATTAAAAAAAAAAACACATTCACACAGAGTTAATGTAGTGTTGTATGCACCAGACTAATAGTTTATATTTGTTGTAGTGTTAGCTTTTGTTATGATGACAGCTGTCAGATTTGTATGATTTTAGAACTTGATACAGTACAGTCTCATGAAACAGATGCACCGAAAGCCTCATCCAGCCAAGTCTGCTTGTGTTGAAAAATGAGACCAAGTTAACAGAATCCAGAACTTTTCTTTTCTCTTTTTTTTCTTTCTTTAAAAAAAAACAATACAAAAAGGGATATCCTTGTCAGCACTTACCTTTTGGCCTCAAGGTTTTAATTACTTCTTATTTTGTACTCGTGGAGGGTAACTTGGATGTTAGTCAGGGTGGACTTTCCCTAAGTGTTTTTTTTTTTCTTTTGTGTATTTTTATTTTTTTATCTCTACATTTTAAAACCCTATCTACTTGAAACGTACGTGCTTTATGTTAAATTTCATTTTTGGCTTTCTTGCAGCCTCATTATGTTCCTGACAACTATAAGAGGAACGGCGGCCGATCAGCCTGGAAAAGCGAACGACCCAAAGAAGCTGGAGGCTGTGAGGACGATGCCTCTTCCTGCGACCGGGGTGAAGATTTCCCACCTGAGGGAGAAGATGGAAGAGGAGTGGAAGACGACATGGACATGGCTTCAGAAGATTCCGCACTTCTTTCAGCCAAGCCTAGAAGACCAGAACGGGAAAGGGAGACAGGAGAAGAGGAGGACGAGGAGGATGGACAGGAAGCCGATGAGCGCAAGGGGCTGGAGGAACGTTCAGCCGAGAGGATTGGAGAGTTGCTTGAAGTTCCATCATCCTCGACTTCATCGCCACTACACCACCCAGCTCTGGGCAGGAGGGAGGCCCAGCGGGAACGACTGAACAAGATCCTGCTGGATCTGCTGCACAGAACACCCAGCAAGAACGGTGAGGGACTGGGAATAAAGGAGGGGGGTAGGTCAACAGATAAATGAGGGTTAAAGTTTAAGGTCACTTTGCTGTGACACGTCATTTGAACGTGTTGGATCATTTTTTTTAAAACTACTACTATTTCTGAAAGAATAAGCTTGAAGTTGGGGCAAGAATCTGTCCATAAGAAGCATAGGATGAAGAGGAGATCATATTTATGTTCTATTTTATGTCACCTAAAAATATCAAAATTTAGACCAACGCTTCAAGGAAAATTCCCATTTACCTCAACCTGGCAAATTTACCATTAATATAGCTGTAGTGGCTTGAAGGGTCATGCTCACTTTGCGATCATCACCTTTTTTTTTTAAAGTTTTTAATCTGAACAGCATTTATTTGGGCGACAAGCATGAACTGCCTACAGTTTACCACAAAAGATAATTTTTTTTTTTTTACATCAATTAATTTTAATCATTTTTCAGTCTGACCGAATGTTGCCTGGAACGGGCATTGTACTAACCGCATTAGGAATCTTCATTCTGGGATACTTGCCAACTGACCAAATCACTGGCATACTCATCATCACACGTGTGTAGCTGACTTACACTGTGTTTATACTGTCTTCTGAGGAGAGTTGGCAGTTAAATGCAATGGCGGATTTACCCCATGGACCATTTTGAGGGCGAGAGGCTGTATCAGCTCGCTTGTCAGTATTGATTTTACCCAGAGTAAGCAGATGGATGAGGAGCTTAAACATAAAGAAGGAAAGACAGTACTCTGAAGATGGTGGCAGAGGCAACCTACCTCGGGAAACCGGTGGTGTTCCTGTCCTCACTGCTCTGCTAATGCCGACTGCTGCAAAGAAGGGGACCTTTGAATGTCTCAATGTGTCGAGCTGTGGAATTACAATTCATGAATTGAAAGCTTTGAAAACATTGCCATCCCCGAGATGGTGTTTCATCAACAAAAGACCAAGACTGGCCGGACTGAACTCTCAGCTTCCCATTTGGCAAGTAAGTAAAACGTCATTTCATGCGCTGGATTATTACACGTTACCCACTACAATACATTTGATAACCCGTGATATAGAAATACAGCCAAGTTTTGTGTTTACTGTCGGTCCGACTCAAAGACAAAACTAGTGATTCTAGTTGCCCAGATAAATGCTGTTCACATTTCCTCCAGTCTTTACAAGAGAGGACAAGTTGCAAAGTTGGCACGACACTTGAGGCCACATTAATGGGTTAAAATAAGTTACAATATACCGGAGTTCCCTTTTAACACTTCATCTCACTTACTAATCTTAGCCTAACGTGAAAGATCCCCACTTCAAGACCATCAGAGGGTTGTTGCGGCGTAAAAAACCTTACACATCATATATCGGATCTGTCTGCTATGACAACCTCTTGCAAATAAAGTAGAAGCTGAAAGAAGCTTTTATTTAAGTCACAATGGGGAATTGCCCAGGATATGCTCATTTCCTAATGATTTGTCAGTCACAAGTTGTTAGCCAGTGAGCATCCAGTTTTACATTCAGATCCACCCCAGGCTCGTTACATCATACTTTAAAACACCAACATGGATATATGGTGAAAATAGTCAGCTTGAGGCCTCATAACATCACTTAACAAACTGATTGATGACGTCACAGTGACTACGTCCATCTTTTATAAAGTCACTAATTACGCTACTTGATACTTTGTATCATTACCAAAGAAACATTGTAATCTAATTGCAGTTAACAATATAATGATATGCCGCCACATCAGCACAAATGTCTGTGCTCTTGCAGTTTCTTGTTGTTTTACAGTAAATTTGAAGTAATGTACATTCTGCTCTGCCATGTTTGTCTTCTCTCCCACTTGGACTAAGCTCAGGCAGGTGGGCTGTACATGAACTATGAAAAGGCACATTTTTTTAGTTTTTCTCAAGAATTTATGTAATGCTTGTGAAACCCAACTATTTGGCTTGTAGATGCAATTTGTTTCTGATAAGATAAGACAAACATTATTTATCCAAAAAAAAGGGAAATTCCAGCCAAAACATTAAACACACCCTGTAGTGGTTGCTAGTTTAGCCTACTGGGTTTAGCAAGTGATCCATATGCTGCAAGGCTAATGCAGAGGCCAGCGTTTGATCCACCCCAAGGCCATTTTTTTTACTCCCCCCCCCCCAAAAAAAAGTAAGAAAAGCTCAATGGGAATAAATGAAATATGACCAAAGAAAAACCTCAGTATGTTTAAAAACTCCACAAAAGAAGGAGCTGAAATAGAAACAGATTAACTAAGCACCACAATAAATAGAACTCTAAATACAATAAATACTGATACTGTGGTATGAGGTCTTACCTGAGTTAAGAACATTACCTTACTACAAACAAATGATTAACATGTTAAAGCCAGTATCTATCCCATCGATGTCTAAGCCAAGGTACCAAAGCCATATTTGGTGGATACAGACTAGTAATCCATTACCAGTGTTAAATGAATGAGCTGCCTTAAGCGACCCTGGGAATTATTATTTTATGTGTACAACAACATCAGACTTAATTTTTATTGCTTATTAACTGTTTAAAAGATTATACTTGAAGCATTTTTGCTTTAAAGTAACTTGCCTCCATGCGGCTGATTTTTTTTTCATTTTTTTTTAATCTTTAATGTGATCGCCCTGTGTCATCTATTTGTGTCCAAGCTGCTAATTTTCTCTCTCATTCCAACTTTCTCCAGCCATTGATGTCACTTATCTCCTTGAGGAAGGCGCAGGGCGGCGCCTGCGGCGGCGGGCGCTCGGATTCAGCGATTTTGTAGGCAGAAAATAATGTTTCTACGTGCCTGTCAAGCACACTGCCTTTCACTGTCATGAGCAAGGGGCAGAAAATGGAGAGACAGCAAGAAGGGAAATGAGCATTGTTGGTTTTCCAGCCATTAAGGACCACAATGCATCCCTGGGGGCCTCTTCCAGTTTACCTCTTCCAAGACTGTCGTCTCAGCTCTGAGAGGGGTGGAGGGTGTTTGGAAGCACTGACTTCAGGAGCTCTCAAGGAGCACAAAGAGAGAGCTGACCCAGGCTTCTTGCTTATTTAAGTAATATGATGCAAAAACTTTCTTTTTAAAAAAAGAAAAAGAAAAGAAAAAGAAAACGAACATAGGAGTTGTAACCCATGCATTTAAATGCATTGAACATTGAAAACATGGGTAGATGAATTCCACTAGCAAGCATCTGTAATGAAATAAGTGGTACTGAATAAGGATGGATAGAGGGGGAGGGATGGATTAATGATTCAGTCTGTGGGGGGGGATGAGTGCTGGAGAATTGTTCCCCCTAGTGGAACCTAGCTGCAATGAAACAAATGTAAGGGATGAGAGAAGAACTGCCCAGGGGCTGTGGGGTGGGGTAGGAATGGCATAGGAGAAATGTAAAGTTGAGCGGTGTGCTCAGATGCTGCTCATGAGAAAGAGAGAACAAGGGTGGTGAACTGCACTTTTGGTACCATGGATATTGTGAAGCTCTCTGTAATGTATCTATAATGAAAACACACTAACACTCTCACAGTATTGGATGATGCAGTCTGGAAGAAAACAAAAGAAGCAAGTCTATTATCTTTTTCCTGTTATACTGTAGTAACTCATTTAGGAACAGAAGAGGCCTGTGGCGTGTTTGTTTTATTAGAGTAAAGGGAGGGGGTTTGGGAAGATGGAGCGTGCGCGCTTTTGTCAGTAAAAGTGTCTTGTTCTTTTTTTTTTTTTTTTTAATCGTCTCGTTACGCAGTCCGCTTTGCCCCTCTTTTTTTTTTTTTTTTTGTGAAGTAAAACAATTCACCAGCTTAACTAAATCAGGC